CTTAACGACTGAGCCACCCAGGCACCCCAAAAGTATACATGTTCTTATGTAACTTAGAAAACACTTCAATTTGTTACTAGAGTATAACTGTTCCTATGATACATTTGCATAACTTTTCAATTTTGTGGTTAATTTGGAAGACTGTCATAAATCCCCCAATTGGGATTTCTTTTCTTTAATGCCAGCAACTTTACAATAAATTTGAAAATGAAATAGGATATCAGAAGATATAATAATTTAAAATACAAACTTTCGGGCACATGGGTGGTTCGGTCAGTTAAGCATCTGCCTTCATCTCAGGTTGTAATCCCAGGACTCTGGGATCCATCCCAGCACTGGGTTCCCTGCTCAGCGAGGAGTCTGCTTCTCCCTCTCCCTTTGCCCCTCCCCCCATTTGTGCTTGCTCTCTCTCGTGTTTTCTCGCTCTCTCTCAAATAAATAAATCTTAAAAAAAAATACAGACTCATTTTAATTATTCAAAGTGTAATAGATTGACACCTAACCTATACTATCCCCAAATAGCCTGAACTTTTTCAAGTAACCTTTTTTTTTTTTTTAAGATTTTATTCATTTATTTGAGACAGAGAGAATGAGAGACAGCATGAGAGGGAGGAGGGTCAGAGGGAGAAGCAGACTCCCTGCCGAGCAGGGAGCCCGATGCGGGACTCGATCCCGGGACTCCAGGATCATGACCTGAGCCGAAGGCAGTCGCTTAACCAACTGAGCCACCCAGGCGCCCTCAAGTAACCATTTTCAACAGCCTTCTTAATTCTAAATATATTCTATTTTTCTCTCTTAAAAGATTCTTTAAATGTCAGAATTTAGATTACATTATTGGACTCTTCTTAGGTACATATGAAAACTTACTTTCTATTGTGGGAAGTTAGGGCTTTCTTTAGCTAAAAGGCATCTCAAGAGTATATAATTTAGCCCAGAGATGTTTGAATTTCTCTGCCAACTTTACTAATGGAATACTACTTATCAAACAGCTCTGGAATCTCAAAGAAACAAAAGAGCTCTCCTACCCCCTCCCCAAACAAACCTGTTCTCAGGATAGTCAAATTCATAGTTTCATAAAAATTTTTATTAAACATGAAAAATGAGTCTTTTTATTCATAGTGCCAACATAGGGTGAGACGGCAGTAGGAGTGTGAATGCAAGGCACTGGAGAATGAACCAGTTCGTCTAGAAACCATACTACTCAAACTCATGACCTGAACTGATACTTAAAATTTATTATGATTACTATAATTGTTATTTTATTATTTTGTCCCCTTCTCCAATTCATCCTTTCTTTCTTAGGGAAAGAGACTGACATAAAAGTGGAATAAAAAAATAATGGCTAACAAAACTACAGCATAAGGAAAAGAAGAACCAACATGGTATCTGCCAATAAAAATGTTCCATCAAGGCTGTCTAACCAATTCAAATGTTTCTACTGACTCACTAGCATGCTACCAAGTGAACGGTTTCACATGTCTTCAAACTCAGGGCCACCATTTGTTTGTAACAGATGCTCAGAAATTACAATCATAAATGCTAGGGTTGGAGAAGAATGATTAGGTCATTCCTTTTGGTCTGACATGGTCAGGATTACTGCAGAAAACTACACTATTCTAGTGCTTTGCTAAAAAATTTCTGTTTTTTAGATATATAGGTCAGCTCTGCCTTTTCCTTAGGAGAGACTTTTCTTATTCTGGATTCTGAGTCACACATATACATGTTTCAGTCTCTTTCTTGCTCACTGCATTCCTCTCATGTTTCTTCTACATTTCGAGTTCTGGGGTTATAATGAACAACTCCTTTTACTTATTCAATTATCCATAATTAAACAATGTAAACATTTAAGATGTGGTGGGTCCTGCCATGAAAAAATGAAACAATTTCATGAAAATTGTATGAAGCCAGAACAATTATTATTGCTATTCTAAAAATGAGCAGACTGAGGCAGAGAAAGGTTAAAGAACTTGCTTAAGTCATAGATCTGGTAAGTTCAGATTCAGGCTCTTTTATTCCGGAAAGTATGTTCTTACTAGTTGCCATAAGTAATTAGAGACAGATACCATGTAGAATTAGTTGGAGGGAGTAAACTCCTTACAAATTAACAAAAGAATGAAGTAAATTCTGAGCAAAGTTGTAGAAACTGAGACACCTCAACTGAGGACAGATGATTAGCAGAACTTGCTCAACCTATGGAGAGGAGTCCAGAATGTAGCAGAAGAAAGGCTATTCTCTTGCTCAGCTTCATAGTGAAAAGGAATCAAAAGCTCACACTGTATTAGAACCCACAATATGTCATTCATAGTGCTTTGTATATATTTACGCTTAGGCTATAGTTTTCAACTGAGGTTTTATGAATGATTACTTTTTATTTGTATGCCATATATTGGAAATCCTCATTTAAAAAAAAAATACAGAATTCAATTCACTGTTCTAAGAGGAAACAACAGAATACCTGTTGCTTCACAGACTTGGCAGCACAATGGCGGGTTGGCCTACAGGGAAGTGCAAACAGAGCGGGCCAGTTAAAGAACCACCACACTCAACAGAATATCTGGAGAGAGGATTATGTCTAAAGTGCTGAGATAACTTATTAAAAGGAAGGTATTAAATGACCATTTTACTAAGATATGAAACTGAAAGACCACAACAAGGGGAAATTTAAGTGGAAATTAAAGCAAGGACTACTTTTAAAATTGATTCTGGGAACACTATATCAAAAACAAATGATGTACTATATGTTGGCGAACTGAACATAGTAGTAAAAAAAAAAACATAGACCAAAACAACAACAACAACAACAACTTTATGTTGGTAAATCTGCACGATACAAACTCGTGAAAAATCTAAGAACATCCTGGTGCCTCGAATATATTCTGAGCGACTGAAGAAGGTGATTTAAGAGACAGGTCATCTATCAGCACCAGGTTTTAGAACTTTATTTCTAGACCCTTCATTTAATGTTTGTTTCACTAAATTTCTACACTACTTAAAAATTTCTCTACATACTTTAATCATTTATCCCATGCCTTATTGTGTGAGTGCTTGATGTTACCAAAAATAGTTTTGCTAATCATAGTAGTTTTCAGAAATGTAATCTCTGACCGGTTTGGAAAGGGAAGTCCACAATAGAGTGTAGCACTGTGGTACTGAAAAAGAAAAAAAAAATTACAACTCCCTTTCCATGGCTTGAAGTGAATCATTCTTTTAAAACTTCTTCCATATCTTTTCAAAGTCCTAATGATAAAAGAAAATTCCCACACAAATACACCACTATTTTGCTATAAGCAGATATCTGTACTTAGTAGGAAAGATCTGAGAGGTAAAAATCAAGATACTGGTGCATGGAGCAAACAAAACAAAACTGTTCTACTGTTACTTTAGTGAGGCCTGTTTCTGCTTCAGAACATCACATGAGATACTTTGTTTTCCACAACATTATATCCATCCTTCTTCCATTTTCTTAAATCCTTTGGGCTCTAATTTAATTTGCTTCTCAACTCTACCCCCTACCATGTTTTAGGAATGGTTCCCAGACCTCTTTCATTCAAATAATTTTATGCTTTATTATTCAAAAGTTACCTCTATTACTCCATCTCCAAAATATCAAGCTTTAAATTTCAACCACCAGTGACAAAAAACTTGTCTTACACTAACTGCTCCCAAAGCAGCATATTAACAAACTTTATCCTCTTGATGACAGTCAGAACACTAACCTCTCCCTATTCTCCCAGCGTACAAATTTATTTCTGGCTTCAAGTACTCATCACTTCCAAGAGTAGATCATCTGTAATGCTTTCATAAAAGATTAGAATCTTTTAACCTTGCACTGTGGCCTAATAACCTATACATACATGCAGGTGACACCCCAACAATTGCTTCCTCAACTCTTAGGTTGCTGTCAGGATATCATATGTGCCATGAAAACTCACACCAGGGTATCAAGGCAAGATCCTCTTCTGGTCTTTAATTTGGGTATTCAACGTTTATTGACAGTTCAAAGCAACAGAAAAGAAGAGGTGATGTTAGCCTAAAGTACTTGCTGAGCTGAGAAGTCTGTTTATTGTAGGTCACGGAGACTCAGTATTTATGCAGAGAAGAAGAAACTAATAGAAAGTGAGCACAGATGATGTGAGAGAAAACTAACAGACGAAGACTGCAGAGGAGGGGACCTGTGCTTAAAATCTGTGATAGAGATCAGAAGCTAGCTTTATGATGGAAAGAGTATCTTTTCTGAAACAGAAGAAAAGACAACAAAAATACAGACAACTGCTGAGGTAAAGAAGGTCGCTGAGCTATCCCAGGATAAATCTGTCTTCATAAAACCTAGGAGCAGGGCAATTATGAAGGGGTGAGGGTTGGGTATGGTGCCACAATGAAGAAAAAGAAGCAGCTATTATGGACTAGCAGATATGACATGCCTCACAACAAATTATCTCAGGAAGTCACAAGATGTGGGACTAGTAGGAAAATGACGTACGGCAAAGTTCTACTAAAATTGACAATTTTGTAAAAACTGGAGAGTGTAGCAAAACGTTAATGGTTAAATATGGGGGATATGTATATAGGGGCTCATTATACTATTTTCTCTACTTTTGCATATCTTTGGAAGTGTTTATAATAAAAAAAATGTTTTTAAAAAGTACCTGGCTATCATAGGACCTCAAGACCAACATATGTTCTTCAGTAAGCTCAGCAATATGGCTAAACTTTCCATAAGATTTTAGAAATTTCAGAGATGCAACTGGATATGGTTATATACACATACACACACACACACACACACACATTCTCTCTCTCTCTCTCGGACTTTAAAATTCAATGAAGAGGCAAAAATAATTCTATTTGACCAGAATTTGTCCCAAATTTGTTCTAGGGAGTGAGAAATACAAGTCTGCATTAAAATGAAGTTAAATGTGTTAGCGGTAATAAATTGGACCAGATGATGAAAGCAATGAGAAAAAGGTTTTCTACTGAAAAATAAGATTATAAACACTTACTTCATCTCCAGAACTTCCTCTAAGTGTTTCCTTCTTTCTGCGCGAAGATTGGTCAAATGAGTTTCCTTTTCTGCCAGAGACTGTTGAGTAGAGGACAGCTTTGCTTTCATGGACTCCAGTTCCTGCTTCACTTTCTCCATGGCCATCAGTAATTCCTCCACCTATGGTAAGTATGGAAAAGAAAAGCTGAGCATTTTGATCAATTAAAGACAGAGGAGCTAAGTAACAGGCAATTTCCTGGGTCCACAAGATTAAAAACACACGCATATAGCAAAAATCCTGTACTCTTGCTGATTCAAACACATATATCAAGACAATATAACAAATAAATAAATCTCTGGTCTTCCCTCCCCTATAATTCTTCTCAAGTTACCTCAAAAAGAACTTCATTTTCTTTTTGATAAACACAACTGCATCAGTTCAATAAGTCACACTTTGCCACAGTCAGTCCCTTTCAGAGAATTTATTTGGAAATGGCCCACAAATTTCCATGGAAATCACAATATAACACAGATAAAAATATGAGGAACAAAATCATAGTAAATTTCTCTTGAAGGATTTTAGGAAATAAAAGACATAAACTTGACTAATAACACTCAGTATAAACAAAATAAGTCATTTTTATTCATCCAAACAAAGATTTTTCTGTTTACACCATTAAAAATAATTTCTTTTGGAGAAAACAGCTAGAATTCAATCAGACAGCTTCTTGCTCTAAGTAGAGTTTTCTCAAGGAAGGCAGGAAGAAAAAAGAAAAACACATGACCACATATAGAGGAGAGAGAATGCTTTAAAAAAGACTTGAAAAAAATCCTGAGGGAAAGAAGACAGAACTCTACAACACAAGGAACTAAGAAAACACAGTATGTACTTCATCAGTCATTTCCACTCACTCTGGGTGGTGTCCAAATCAGAATTACTTAAATAAACATGTTCATTTTAATTCCGAAGCAAGATATATGTTGGCAAAAATGTGTTAATACCAAAACCAACCTGAATCAGGTAATCAACCAGCCAACTGCACCAATCACAAGAGTTTATACTGGCTGCTGCTTGCCAAGAAATAATTTTGGTGACAAGCCTTTTCAGAGGAAGAGGTGGGGGAATTGCCATTCATTGACTTCTACATAAAACCAATTTGTGTGATACTAAAACTGAGAACAGTTTAGAGACAAAACTGCAATATAACAAATCAGAGTTGTTAACAGATCCCAGGATGTTAGCACCTCAGACCTAACCAAAGTTTCCATGTTGATTGGTAACAGGTGCTAAACACTGATAATAAACAGATACATTTAGTGTTTTGGCACCTGAATCATCTTACTTTGTGTACCTTTTCAGAAGTGATCAAGTTAATGTTCTCAGCTAACAGCTGTGAGAACAGTGCTGTGAGAATATATATTATTATGCAGCTCTCCTCGGATATGTATTCACATATTTACAAGCTTTATGTTACCATGTATCACTACCCACCCTCTGAAAACTGCAAATAAGGATGATTCCATTTTAATAAGTTTAATTCATGTAAAATCTTATTTAAAACTGAATTGAAATGGCATACCAAGTTATGTTCTTATAACACAAAATCAATAATGGACAGCACCATTTACAGAAGCTCTAATAAAGTGTGGGATATTTCCATCTTTGATGAACTTATCTTAAACAAATCAAAAAATCTCCCTCCCAACCTGTCTTTCACTACCCCAAGCAAGGTATGGTATCAGTTTCTTATATAACTTAGATTAAATATACACAAGCAAGCTTGTATAAACAACTTATTCCTCTCTTTTCTATATTAAAAAAAGGAAGCTCACTTTATATATACCCTTATGCATCCAAAATTTCTGGTAAATGTTTACGGAAATACAACATAGAGAAAAAAACACAAATGTTAAATGTGCAACCTGAAGAATTTTCTCTAAGTTGAACACACCTATGTAAAGAGAACACAGACCAATAAACAAAACATTAACAGTCCCCCAGAAACACATCTCAAAACCTCTTCCCAGATGAAGAGTAACCATTATTCTAGCATTTTTTTTTATAATTTTTTTTTTAAGATTTTATTTATTTATTTGAGAGAGAGAGAATGAGAGACAGAGAGCATGAGAAGGAGGAAGGTCAGAGGGAGAAGCAGACTCCCTGCTGAGCAGGGAGCCCGACGCGGGACTCGATCCCGGGACTCCAGGATCATGACCTGAGCCGAAGGCAGTCGCTTAACCAACTGAGCCACCCAGGCACCCTATTCTAGCATTTTACATTAGTTTTGCCTATTTAACTTTGTACAAATGGAATTACATAGTATTTAATTTTAAGTACAGGTTTTCTTTTTTTTTAAGATTTTATTTATTTATTTGACAGAGAGAGACACAGTGAGAGAGGGAACACAAGCAGGGGGAGTGGGAGACGGAGAAGCAGGCTTCCTGCTGAGCAGGGAGCCCGATGCGGGGCTCGATCCCAGAACCCTGGGATCATGACCTGAGCCGAAGGCAGACGCTTAACGACTCAGCCACCCAGGCGCCCCTTAAGTACAGAGTTTCTTCACTCAGTGTCATGTCTGTGAGATCCACCCATGTTATTGGGTATAATTATAGTTCTGTAATTCTCTTAACTGTATGGAATTCCACTGTGTGAAAATAGCAAAATTTACTGAACGCACTTTTGATAAAAAGAATTTTTAAAAAAATTTTTCCAGTTTTACTAAGAAATAACTGATATACATCACTGTGTAATTTTAAAGTGTAGCATCATGGGTGGATTTACATATATTGTGAAATGATTACCACGATAGGCTCAGCTAACATCCATCCTCTCATATAAATACAATAAAAAGAACGAAGAAAAAAACGGCTTAGGATTTGCTCTCTTAAAAACATTCCTATATATCATAGAGCACTGTTAGTTACAGTTATCATGCTGTGTACATTACATCCCTACTACTTATCTTATAACTGGAAGTTTGTACTTTTTGACCACCTTTCTCCAAGTCCTATTTGACCCACCCCCTACCTCTGGTAACAAGACTGATCACTTTTTCTATGAGTTTGTATTTGTTTTGTTTTGTTTTATATTCCACATATAAGTAAGATCATACAGTATTTGTCTTTCTCTAACTTACTTTACATTTAGATCTACAATACAGATGCAACTGAATAAATACAGTATAATGGTCAAAATTCATTTTTGTCAATATGGGTATTCAACAAACTCAGCAGTATAAATAGTAAGAAGAACTTTAATAGCCACAGTAAGAAGGCACTGTTGGTCTACTTGGCAAAAGATCAGAAATTATTTATTTTTTTAAAGATTTATTTATTTATATTTAGAGGGAAGGGTAGAGAGAGAGAGCATGCACAAAGAGGGGAGACGCAGAGGGAGCAGAGCATGGAGCCTGACCCAGGGCTTGATCTCATGACCCTGAGATCATGACCTGAGCCAAAACCAAGAGCCGGACACTCAACCAAGACACCCAGGCGCCCCAAGATCACAAATTATTTAAAGACTACTTACAAATTATAGGAAAGATAATTTCACAATGCTTCGTATTGTACATAAACACCTTTAAATTTCATAAATAAGAAATGTGAAATACAGGTATATTAAAAAGGAATACAAATAGGGGCGCCTGGGTGGCTCAGTTGGTTAAGCGACTGCCTTCGGCTCAGGTCATGATCCTGGAGTCCCGGGATCGAGTCCCGCATCGGGCTCCCTGCTCTGCAGGGAGTCTGCTTCTCCCTCTGACCCTCCCCCCTCTCATGTGCTCTCTCTCATTCTCTCTCTCAAATAAATAAATAAAATCTTTAAAAAAAAAAAAAGGAATACACATATATTCCAGAACCAAGAACAAGACACACATCTATAAAGTCACTATCCAGAAGCTTTATAAGTGAAATTATCCAACTGTATGCCCAAAGTCTCCCACGACAGGTCATCACCATTCTAAATTTGTTACTTAATCCCTTCCATTTCTTTGTTTTTGCCTTTGATATATATATTCCAAAATAAATCACTGGTTCATTCTATCAGTTTATGAACATTGTATAAATGGAATCTTCTGACTTTCTTATTTCATCCAACACTATGTTTTTTCATGTATATAAAAAAAGGGGGCCTACCCTTATGTATATTCCAGAACCAAAAGGAAAACATACCCTACATACTTAACCATTTTAGGAATTAAAAGCAATGAGAGCCAACAACTTTGAGCACCACAACACCCAGATTATATTTTCCCACTCGATTGAAAGGGCTCCTTAAAAACACAGCTGATTCCAGATTTGGGGGAAGAAATGTACAAAAGATGAACTTTGCACAACTTATTGCAGAAAGCAAGAGAAATGGGAATCATGGAAAACAGGGATCATGATGCAGAAACCCTGATAACAAAACCAGAAAAATGTATCACAAGAAAGAAAAACAAAGGAAATTACACAGGAATATCCCTTCTGAATACAGAGGCAAAAAAAATACCAGAAAGTCAAACCCAGGAAGACAAAAAAAAAAAAAAATTGAGATTTATCCTAAGAATTCAAGGTTGGTTTAACACATAAAAATAAATGTAATAAATCATATCAGTAGAATATAGGCCAAAAAACCCCACATGATCATCTAAGTAGATGCAGAAAAGCATTTAACAATTTCTAACAACCTTTCATGATAGAAACAGTCAAGAAAATAGAAAAAAGAAAAACTATCTCAACCTAATAAAGGGCATTTATGAAAAACTCACAGCTAATATCAACTTCAATGATTAAAGACGGAATGCTTTCCCTCTAGGAACAGCACCAAGAACAAGACTAGAATGTCCTTTCTCACCATATCTATTTAATATTGTACTAGAAGTGACAGCCAGGAAAATTAGGATACACAGATAATTAAAAGGCACCCACACTGAAAAGGAAGACAAAAGTTTCTCTAGTTGAAAATGACATGATCTTATATAGTGAAAAACGCCAAGAATCCACTAAAATAAATTATAATCAACAAGTATACAAAGGTTGCAGAATACAAGATCAATATACAGAAATCAATTGTCCATACACGAGCAATGAACGTTCCGAAATGAAATTAAAAACAATTCCATTTAAAATAGCATCAAAAAGAAGGAAATAGCTAGGTATAAATTTAACTTAAAAATGTGTAACATATATACTGAAAATTA